CAAACAGTTGACGTATAAGATTTTTCTAACATCAAAGTTTCAAATTTTAAGAGAAACGTGCTTTAGCTTTTTTGGTTCCTTTATGAATAACTGACAAGATGAACGTAATCACGCTCTAGAGCTGTCACGAGATTTGGACCTCCCTTCCACATAACTTTGTTATTGAGTAATCGATATGGTTGTTTACAAATGGGACATGCCTCCTAGTAATATTTTAGGGGTGAACCCCACGCTTGTTGATGGATTTGCAAAATAATAAATATCAAAATTAAAATCAAATTAACTCTTTCACCAAATATCGCGAGAAGTAAAGTCGACAATAATTTACCCATCAGAGCTTCATAATATAAACGTATTCAAACGTTAACTTATCATGGAAGGTGCACGTACATCCTTGATGAACATCCTCATGTTTCCAAATACTGGATCAGGCTTAGGACCGTCAATTCCCATCTTCTTAAATGTGTTATGATCCCAAGACATGTATCTACAATTTATCAAACAGAAAATATGAATCATAGAGTTCACGCATAACAAAACATCTTAATAACAATAGTGAAGACAAAAATTCACTAAAAATACGAAGAAAAAAAAAGATATTTGAAAAAAGAATGAGTAACAAAATATTGAACGGACCCAAAGTAACTATCCCTTAAGCCGCGGTTACATCTTACGGTCACGCAAGTAGCTGGCCGTAGTGGGGGATGACCGTAGCTGATTGTAGTAGACCGTAGGTGACCTTGGTTAAACGTATCAGACGTCGTTAGACGTAGTTCAACGTACTTATAAACTTAACATTACTTACCCCTAGATGACCCTAGTTGACCCTATTTAACCATTGTTAATCCTAGTTAACCCTAGATAACCCTAAATGACCCTAGTTAACCCTAGATAAACATAGTCTACCCTAGATAACCTAGTTAACACTAGATAACCCTCGTTAACACTAAATAACCCTAGTTAACACTAGATTGCCCTAGTTAACACTAAATTACCCTAGTTAACTCTAGATAAACCTAGATAACCCTTTCTAACCATAGATAACCCTTGTTAACCCTAGCCATTTTGCTCGTAGTTCACACTACTTTCTTTATATTTCCTCTTTTGCCAATTTTAAACCTACTTCAACCTAGTACTGTAGTGGCAATACGGTCAACTACGTCTTCCTGAATTACGGTCACGTGTACGTGCGTGACGTATGCTATAACCGCAGCTTAACACTGATAACTAAATCACTCAGATGTCAGCAGTAACGACGTTGTTTAGTGACACTAAAGTTATACCCAGTAAAGAAAAATGTCCGTATAATACAGTTCACACAACAAAGATAAATAAATCAGATTTATACATAATGAAAATTATAGGAAATACTATAGGCAAAACGCCACCATTGTAAAGTAGAGCCTTGAATCTACCTTTTTATACCCAACAACAATTGTTTACATCGTGGTTTCACTTACAGGGACCTGATAATTTGTAACAGCTCTATTTGGACCTAAACTAAGGTGGTCAGAGTAATTTTACATGTTTTGAGGGGTTGGATCAATTTTCCGTAAAAAAAGAAACCCCAATGATCATATATACGAGCTTTCGGTATATATGATCATATATACGAGTTTCTCGTATATATGATCATTTGGGTGTCATTTTTTACGGAAAATTGATCTAAACCCTCAAAACATGAAAAATTACTCTGAACACCTTAGTTTAGGTCCAAATACAGCTGTTACAAATTAGCAGGTCCCTGTGCACATATCCTCTCCTGTGGGTACCAGCGCCCACAGACCTGTTCATGGTGACTAATATAACACTATCAATCAATACTTGCATGACGTAGGTCACCACCAGCCCGACCAACAACATCACCCATTGAAGCCATGTCGGAATATCCACCAACCCCAGCACCTCCATTGCCTCCAGTTAAGTTCAGCTCACAGGGCTGAAGAGACACAGTGAAATACTAGGTAAACAATTAAAGGGACAATTAAGTGAAGTAAGTTTCTTATAACGTTGTGACAACATTCTTCATCATTGTATAGGTTGATACTCCTTATGAACAATTCATGTCGAGAAATTGACAAGAGGCAATGTTTTCTTGGCGTACAGCTGTACGTTTTAGCGGCAGCAGTCGTGAATTTCTAGCTAACAAAAATTTCTTTCCAGCCGAGGAGAGATTTCTCGCTTTATTCATCTAGCCTGTCTGGAATACAAGTATATGCATTTATTTTGAATAGAAATCATCTTCCAACATCATCTTAATCTCAAACATCGTTATAAATGATCGAGTGAGCTATTGATATCGTACTTTCCGTGGTTTGAAATTCTCCCTGCGGCACCCTCTCAGTGTGTGCATGCTCTCATTAAAGCTGTTCGTTTTTATTCAAATCCAAATATGAACAGAAATATCTGATTAGAGGTATATATTATGATACTTATAATTCTTACTTGCGATGCATTGTGTACGCTTCTAATTGAAAGGCCCCGATATTACGCTATTTTTATCACAGGCTTTTCCAAAAGATTAATCTGACCACACTGGACGTTGGCTTCAGGTCATGTCATTATCAACTACGTACACTTTCGCTAGGAGATATCGACTCGATATTCAGGTTGTCACTTGACTAAATAGCCCCTTTAAGGTCATACATTGTACAGGTATGCACATAGTGGTACCAGCAATGTTTGCAAAGTCTCATTTCAGTACATTATATCTATTGGAACAGAATGTGTATCTGGTACCAAAAGTCATCGGTTTTGAGTTAAAATAACGTTCCTGCTTTCACTTCAGAATTTGCAGCTCGGCGGTGGGTAACGAAATTACTTCCTCTGCAATATACCGATTTATGTCGTCAAATTATGGGATGTTTCAGCAGTAATGCTGCCTCAGAAAAGAAATCGACCGGAAGCGAAAACTGCAAACACAATAGAATAACTTGCCATCCATTATGTCTTTACAAATGTGTATTATTATACTCTGATACCTTATGTTTTGTATTGTAATGTATCTGAAGAAACCAATAAGCTGAAAAAAAACCTTTAAATATGAAAAAAATATAATAGGGTGAATAATTCACTTATCGGTGATTTATCATTGGGTTATATATATATGTTTGTAATTTCATTGTGAAACAACATAAGGCAGTTTGACGCAATATGGTTTACTTCCGGTAATTAGAAAATCAAATAATCTAACCCAGGACCTGATCGTCCTTATCTCGTCTGGCGTACATGATTCTTCTTATATAGGTTTCAATTTCAGGATTAATAAATACCTGTCACTACAATGAAGACTGCATTGGATACTGTATAATCACAGGACTAAACTACCCTGTAGTTGTCTGCCAGTAGACCATCTCACAAATGACCTGTGACCAGAGTATAACACCATCCTAATAATTGATAATGATAAAAGAGTTCTTTACAATGAGCAATTTGGATATTTGTACTCAATAAAATAATTGTTTATCTAAACCTATGTCAAAAAGGGGAAAAACAACACATAAATAAATTGTAAAGCATTTTATTCATGTAAACTATATTGCGCGCGAAATTGAAATATCCTCCAGTCAACAGCTCGTGATTACTAAGTCGTATGTCAAGGTCGAGCTTACTGAGTCAGCAATAGTGTGTTTTTAAGGATACTCCTGGTCAGTATCTATAGCACGTCCGGGTCTACGGCATACACACCTCAGATATTTTACGAACTATGTAATCGTATACACCTGCTATCATAATGAAGTATAACATGTTTGGCAGGCTCACAACACTCCTGTTTCGGGTCATAACCATGCCATATTTAGTCATCAATAAAAACTACATTTTAGAAAAAGCACATCTTTTTATCCAGAGTATAAAATACTTAATATATAATGTAGAAAATATACATGTATGTTTTGTCCTTGTCATAATATGTATAGCTCCGATACTTAAGAGGCTGATCAATAACTTAATGTATTTATTTCTTTTATAATTTTATATTTTCAATTAACATTATGGTAAATGTATTAGAGAAATACTCTCATTGTTAATAATGATACTTCATCGATGATACATACATACAAGATACAAGAAGCTTTATTTATTGTCGTATATGGCATAACATTGAACATCAGCTCTGTTGAGCTATTTTTACGACAAACATTAGTATAAAAAACAGAGGAATAACAAGGTAGAAAGCATGCTAGTTGAAAAAGCAGGATTATGCAGCTTAAACTATATACATAGAAATCACAAAAATAATCAGAAAATAGTTTGATGATAGCACATGCATTTTAAAAAGTAGGAACAGTACTAATTATAACATAAGCAAAAATATCATAAGCATAAAACATATAAAACCATATCAGATTTAGCAAGCACATATTTCATATAATATCACAGATGGTTAATACGATACTTTATATTGGAAAATGTGGAATGAAATACTCAGACAAATTAAAGTAAAGTAAGAAGCAAAATGCATGTATATATGGCAAAAATCTGTAGTCTTTTGACATTGTGTAATAAGTCAATATTAAATGGATTTTTTCTAAAAAAATAGCAAAACTTTGTAAACATATACAAGTGTCATCTATTGATAATGTATCATGCATACTGTTTTGTGTACTTGTCATCCATTATGTCTTACAAATGACGCAATATGGTTTACTTCCGGTAATTAGAAAATCAAATTATCTAACTCAGGACCTGATCGTCCTTATCTCGTCTGTCGTACATGATTCTTCTTATATAGGGTTCAATTCCAGGATTAATAAATACCTGTCACTACAATGAAGACTGCATTGGATACTGTATAATCACAGGACTAAACTACCCTGTAGTTGTCTGCCAGTAGACCATCTCACAAATGACCTGTGACCAGAGTATAACACCATCCTAATAATTGATAATGATAAAAGAGTTCTTTACAATGAGCAAGTTGGATGTTTTTAATCAATAAAATAACTGATACTAATCAAAATGGAAAAATAACCACCAGTAAAATAAAATTTCCAGACCTGGGAGCTGCAATATTAGTGTACTGGTGTATGCTGCAGTTGACCATGGAGGTGCTGGGGTTGGTGTATATTCCGACCTGGCTCCAATGGCCGGTGTTGTTGCTCGGACTGTTGGTGACCTACGTCGTGTAAGTATCTATACATAGTCTCCAACGGTTTAGAAGATACGTGATTTTCATTCTGTTTTAGTTATCGTGTAGGCTTTTGAGCCATTTCGAATCATTTTCAGAGTAAAACTGTCCATCAGTTGTGATATGATCTTGTAATGTACCAACTGCTTTACATTGAACTTCGTCGTTATGGAATAAAGGAAAATGTCGCAACGTCAAGTTCAGTTTAAATACGATTAATCTTTTGTTGAGTCGTTTGAAGCTGCGCAATGGTATTGCTCCTGCAATCGAAACCACGAGGAAATTGCTTTGATGTTGTATATCTGCTCAAACTTACCGGAACCGCTTGAAAGTAGGCCAGTTATGACCTGACCCAAGAATTGACTGATGAATTAAATAACGTTGCTGCTCACGTTATCCGACGTTTGGAAAAATGCATTGCGACGAAACTGCAACGCCGTGTTATACACAAATGGTGGTCATACGCTGAACCCAAACACGTGTCTTGATTATTCGACCTACGACGCGCTAACGTCTTATCGAATGAATTCACCGCAGCGATTTATGACAAATCAATGAAAATATATAAAAAGATAACTTAATTTCAACTGCATCTAAAATGATTGTATCCTAAATTCAAGTGAGTGTTAACCTTTCTTTTGTTTATGATAATTGTAAATGAGATACTCTCCAACTTTCCGAGATTGTCTGGTGTTGTCGGTATCGTCTCAGATAGGTACACTGACAAAAATTGTCTCTTGTCTAGAACCGCTTGCTGAAAACACAAATGTCAGTCTGGGTGATTTTCGTAATTGTTTTTACCCAACTTGGAAACGTAATTAACTTCTGTGTTTGAACGGATACAACTCATTATCGTAATATTATCTCGACATGTATTAAGTAAATAATAATCAATTCTGCTTCTTTTATTTTTGTAAACTTTTCCAATCAGTTTTGAGGTAGAATTTTGTGTTTGCGTGTGAGTGCCTTGATTTTCATTTCTGGATATGTTTACAAATTGAAGTTACATGTCTTGGGATCACAACACATTTAAGAAGATGGGGGTTGGCGGTCCTACGCCTGACCCAGTATTAGGCAATATGAGGATGTTCATCAAATACGTAAGTCTACATTCCATAACCTATAGTTTATGTTTGAATGTGTTTGCACAATGTTTTGCTGCAAACACATATTGCTGTGCTAATAGGTGCACGGGGATCACGATCGGTCGTCATGTAGATATAAAAACAACAGGTCATTAATTATGAATGCTTGACTGAACGATTCGACATAAGAATATATATATATGTAATCTTAGCGTTTATCAACCGACGGGTTAAGATATACTACTGGTTGTGATGGCATAAGCTGAGTGCAATAATTCATTGAAACCTCACACATATATAATTACGTGTGAAGGAAAACGTTTGGGTTAAAAAATAAATATGAAATTTATCTTCCAATAAGTCATTCCTAATTATGAATATTCCTGAATCTAGCAAAGATTGGCATAATTCTTAAAGGTTTTGTAAAGGACCTGAAAATGATCTTTCTGATAGAAATATTGTTTGTTTTATTACAAAATAATTACCATAATAATATACGTAGTGTTTTGTGTCCCCGGTACCTGATTTTGTTTGAACGATCTTTGTTTTAATTTCACAAGTAAAAAGTTCGATTCTAATAGAATTTGTCAAAATAAGGCTTGACATCCAGTATTTCATTTTGTTTTAGTAATTTGTCTTGTCGCACTTACCTGACATATATGGTAAATAATTTACCACAAAATATACTTTTATGCTTAAATATAAAAATATAACCGTCAACAAACATTTTTATCCGTATTGCTACATAAGAAATAGGCTGGTGTCCATTTGGCCTTTTTTGTTTGGTTAAGAGCGTTATTGTGTGAGTCCTACACTGTAACACACTTCACTACA